ACCCTACACGCACATCTTAATCGGCACGCTTCAGTTATTTGTTCTTTTTTCTTCTCTTTGTCGTTTTTGTTCAGCTTACAAAAAAATTAGGAACCACTGCGTTTCGTAAACCCATTCACGCAACGATATCATTCGAAGGAACTGGAACGATCGAAACGAGACTCTATACGATTACTCAATGAATCACGGAGGACAACGATCTTATTTCTTTTCACATCGTTCTCTCTCTCTCTCTCTCTCTCTCTCTCGCTCGCTCTCTTTCATACGCTTTCTCTCTCACTCTCTCGCTCTTTTTTTGTTTCTTTCTCCCATCGTTTCTTCTTATTACAAGTACAACGACCGTAACGTTAATGTTTCATCTTTTCTTTCATTTTTTTTTGTTCCTGTTAGGACATTCGCAAGGAAAGGGATTACAGAGCACATTTTATTGTAACGATTCTCGTTGAAACGTTCGAACTGAAAACCTTCTCGGCCCGTGTTTCGTCCGTTTTTTTTTTTTGGCAGTGAAACTAACGATGATCAATAACACGACATCCAGAGGGGGAAGGCAAACGAGAACTTATGGCTAAATAAAACTTTATAAAAATATATCAACGAATAATAAATATATCTCTAACAGCGTCACTGTATAATTCGTCATACATAGCCGTCGGTGTGATTCGATAGCCTATGCATTTACAATCACTATATACACGCTATTTAGTTTACTACTTACCTAAAATAATATACAACAATGTACTTTTTAAATCTTCCTATTTCTCTCTTTTCGGAATACTTAGTTTCTTCTCTTCCGTACCTCCGCTTCGTTTCGTTTCGTTTCGTTTCTATTCGGTGTTCTCGACCGTATACGTTCGTTCTCTTTAATTCGATTACATCTTACCTATATGATACGGGGCGCTCCAAAATTAATGGTCGACGTGGATGCGCTTAGTATAGGTTACAATTCACCGTAGAATGCGGATTTCGTGTATTTTTATGATCATAATGGTTCAGTTAAATACAAAATACAGTGAAAATATCTGGAGAATTTAAGGCTACCGCTATATTATCCTCAATTCATTCGAACTTCATTCAAACTTAAGAAGCTTCTCAGCTTATTGTAATAAGCGCAGGAAATGTTTAATTTAATGCGCATATAGATCCACAGTTTCGTCATAATCGTTGTTCTTTTTTCGCTTGTACACTGCAATGACATTGAGGACCAGTGTTGCCAGAACGTAGCCGAAGAGGCGCCGCGCGGAAATGAACTACGCTAGGAGTGGGGGCAGTCGACGCATGCGCGGGAATCCCGCGTAGTGGCGTGGCGCGTCTACCACGATCGAAATTCAGAATTGTAACGTTCACCCGGTAGACTCGCCATGCCGCTATGCGGGACTCCCGGCGCATGCGTCGCCTATCCCCCTCCTTGTGTAACTTATTTTCGCGTACACGCTGGTGGAGACGAGTTGACGTCCTCCATTGCGATGTGACCACATGAATTTTGCACTGATGTAGTCACATGACGTCGCGTAGTTTAACTTTTTGACGCATTTCCATCACTTCGGTGTTTTTCTGATAGGGTAGCAGAGGTGGTTTTACTGTGGAGTGACCAATTGCTGTGACTTTGATTTGCCTTCGACTGACTTTGATTAATTATATAAATATAGTTAAGTTTATATTTATCGAGTAAGACATATGAAATCTTCACATTGGGAAACAAACAAAATAAACGAATATAAAAATTAAATATGTCTTCATCCGATATGAATATCAAAATTTCGTCTAGGGATTTTGTGAAAACTTAGTAAGATCAATGTCCCAACGTATTAGAAGTGTTACACGAGCACTTGGTAATGTAATAAAATATTAATAACTCAATGATCGAAAACATTTTTCAACATTCGTACCGATCGGAGATTTTTTTCCACGTAACATTTTGTTTTCTCTGTGGTTTCTTTTGGTAATAAGTGAAAGATCGTGTTATGTTGTATTTATTTACTTTATATAATTTAATAATATAATTTAATGTAATATAATATAATTTAATTTAATATAATATAATATAATTTAATTTATTTACTTTATATATTATAACTCCAAAATGCAAATACTATTTGTAAATTTTGTATTGGTATATATATATATATATATATGGTCGGAAACTTTTTGCCGGGGATTGTACTTCTGCTACTTTCTGGCAACGCTTGAGGACACCCAAGTTAGCAGTACAAAACTGAATAATTCTTTGATTAATATGTAACTGGCACGGTAGTCAGTGTGATAAACAGTAATACGTTCTAATTACGGAAGAGTAATAAAACTTCTGACAAGTTCGGTCGCAGGAACTTTCTTTTTTTTTTAGTAATAAGGTTATATTAATTTTTAAAAGCAAATAGCGGATACTCCGCGTACAATGCTCCGCGTGAAAACTGCAGCGAAGATATTTCGTAATTTTTGCTTTATTCTTTCCTACGGAAAATCTTTAATACAGGATATAAATTTTACAATTACGTTATGTAGTACATTAGTCCCCACCGACTTTGACAACGGAACGACATTCATCGTGTCCTAATAAAGTGTGTACTTTATCCTTTATTTAATATATCGTTTATTTCAAGAAATTAATTTCTCTTCCATTTTATTTTACGATGTCGTTCAGAGGATTGTAGTTGTCATAAAAGTATACAAGGTGTGGCACACAACTGTCGCCACGATGTTTCAAGCATTTTCGTTAGACTGGCAACAAAATGTTTCTAATAAAAGTGAATCAGTATTTGGTCAACTATATATTGAAAAATAACAAATCTTAAAAACTATTGTTTTTCTACTAAAAATCAAGGTTACCTTGACCTTTTTAAATGGCAACCTGTATTTTTGACTTCGTAAGGTTATCGCTGATGAAAAAACGAATTCAATGACCTGCTATACTATGACCTGCAGACGACCTCGTCTTCAGCAATTTAGGGTTGAACAACGAGAGCATTAATATTTTAATTAATATAATTTAATTTTAATTAATATATTTTAATTATTACAATAAGTGCTCAAAGTGTAGTCCATTTTCTTTTTGGTTGGCAATTTCGGTCGTGTAAGCAAATTACGATTAGTCGCAAATATCAATATAACGTAACATGAGATCGTGTTAATAATGATCTAATAATGACAATGAAAATGTCATGAAAAATTTATAATAAACAATCTCTGACGTTCAAACCTAAATTATTGAAGTCCAAATCGAAAAGACAAAGTGCCATTTAAAAAAGTCAAGATGACCTTGATTTTCAGTAGAACAACAATAGTTCTTGAAATTTGTTATTCCTCAGAATGTAGCTGGCTAAATACTGATTAATTTTCATTGGAAACATATTTTTCTGTCAGACAGTGAAAAATCGTGACACGAGTTATGTGTCACTCTGTACATATAGATTCCCTCTTTTAATTTATTCAAAATATTTTGAAACTTCAATTCCTCGCTCGTAGTCATTGTATTCGAAATGTTTGACGTAAACAAGCAAAAGCTTCGACCAGAAAGTTCGAGATACTTGTGAAATAATGATTTTTATTTATTCATTTTATCAAAAAATATGAATTAGATCGAAAACACGAGCTCTAGTAAGCATTACTTTAGTTATACCAAAGCGAACAAAATTTCTTGATATGAGAATTACAATGAACACACCGTCAAATTTGATACACTCTACAATAACATCGGCAACTGTACGCGTATTTTCTGATATTGTGTTCCCGGTTCCACGAATATTTCTTCGTAAAAAGGTACAACCGTCGTCTCATCGTTTCCTCGGAATCTGTTCAATTCGAAGCAACAAACGAACGAACGTTCGCAGTACGTTCGTAACCATTGCTCTCTTTGACACATTTTTGCGATTGATCACATCTTGTGCCGGCATCCTGGCACGCTCGAATCGAACACCATCAATTTTGGAATGCCCAGTAGACCGTCGCGTAGCGCCATAATCGTTCTAAAAACAATTCATGTTCGAGAGAACAGTCTTGGACGCATCAGCCTAGCCGACGTTCCTTCAGAAAAATTGGTCTGCCGTTCGGTCTGCATACCGGCTCGACAATCATTCTCTTTTCGGTGTCGCTGTTTCTCGTTTTGCTTGCGGTGTACGTGCACGTGCAGCACACGCGAGTGTGTGTAATTTTCCGCTCTTTGTCGTCTCCTTACAAATAAACTATACAAATATTTACACGCGCCCTGGCCGCGCGTGACGCGAAGAACCTCGGTAATTCCCGGCGCGGTCGGGTCGAGAGAGCCCCGGAAAATAGCTGGAGTCGAAGGGCCGCGAACTTTAGTTTACAAACTTTCCCTACGCACCGATGCATCTTACTTGAATAATGGCAGCGACGTTTCCCCGTTTAAGGCCCGCGAAAGATGTCGGCTATTCAACGTTCAACGCGCTCCCCGAGCAATAAACGCGTTCCCGTCTCGTTTCTTTCTCGCGTTCTCCATGCTTCTTCTTCCTCTTCTTCGATTTCCGTGTCGGGAACAAATGCTTCGACGAAGGTCGACAAAAAAGAAAAGAACCAAAAGAAAAAAGAAACCACAAAAATCGGAACGGAAAGCGAAAGAAACGTGAAAGGACAACAAACAAACGTGCTGTGCTGCCGCCGATCCGATCGTCTATACATGTCTCTTATCTATCGTCTAGAAAATCCTAACAGTATCGAAAACGTCTCGCGACGAGATCCACGTTTAAGGAAAGACGAGGCTGCAGCGCGGTCGTCCTCGTCGTCTCGTACGGCAACGATCGTCGAGAGACGACCCCTCGCGTCTCCGATTTTGTCGAGACAGCACTCCCCCTATAATAAAACGCGTTTATCGTTCGCGCGTTTCTCGCGCGTCCGTGATCCGACAAAAATTCCGAAAAAAATCCACGCGATTCGCTGTCATTTTCGTGGAACTCGACGCCCGTCTCGACGAGAGAACGATACTCGACTATTCGACTCATCCCTTGCCGCGTTCGCGCACTCACACATCCACGCTCTTTCTTCTTTCCTTTTCGTTCGCCTGCTCTAGCTCGACTTTTATATATTATTTACAATTATCGAAGTCACGGGAATACTGACGGAAATTCGCTCTCTCTCCCCCCTCCTCGTCGTTAGCAAGGTAGTTTCTCTCTTCGATATTTCTTATTCGTTTCTATGAAGAATTTCTCGCCGCTTCGAGGATCGAACACGAGGCCGAGCTCTCTTCTCGCGCCTCTTGCTCAACGACGATGCTCCTGCAGGATGGCCAGCGCCAGACAAAGCGACAGGCAGGCGAGGCTCGCTGACCGGAAGTGAGCGTGACTGTACTCGGACGCCCGTGTCACGTTCAACAAAACGGAAGCGTCCGCGATTCCTTCCGACGAGCGTACCAACAGCAACCATTCGCCGGCGTGCGACCATTGGATCGTGTCGAAGCTGAGCATCGTCCGGTAACAGGACTCCGTGCCGCCGTCCTGAAAGGTAAACAGAAACACACGTGAGCGCTTATCGAATTTGCCGAACGATTCTCGAATTTGCCGAACGATTCTCGAATTTTCGCTAACTTCGTTTCACCGTCTGTTAGGTAGCAGCGGACCTTTATGCGTTTATCGCGCATCAAAGTCTCGAAGAGGAAGAAGTCAAGTTCGACGTTCGCAATGGGGGGAGTAATTAAAAGAAACATGATGATCGTTCGGAAAATTGGCCTCCTCGCTGATCGACTTTGAAATATGCTATTGTAACGTACGGATCTAACGATAAGGTACGCGCATTCTCTTTGAAACGATCACCGAAATCAACGAAATCAAACAGTCCATAAATGTAACAGAACATTCATCCACTACGATTTTTTTTCAACCGAATCGTGGGTTCGTTTACTTTGTTTACAGTGGGACCATGTAGTTAGTGCTTACGTTACTAGGACCTGTAACGTACGGAGAATCTTCCCACGAATTTTTATATTCATTTCCGAAGGCGTACGCCAGGCTGGCGCCAGCCAGTCGGGGGTTCATTTGTATATCGCGAGTCGAGTACCTCCAAAGGGGTGCGACGACGAACGTTTCTGGAATCGGACCACATAGGAACACCCCCACTACCATTTTTCCAGAGAAAATCTGGCTATATAAAGGGCCCGAACGCGACCAGAAATCGGGCTAGTTTCGAGTCATTCGTCGACGTGGAAACTCTAGCGAGATCGAGTCTTGATTCTCCTTCGAACAATCTAGTAGGTAATTAGATGTCGAATCAGAAGCCCCCGCCGACTCAGTGCGAAAAGCTGAGAGCGCGATAGAGTCCGCGAACACCTACATACATTTGTAAAAACCCGAAACGCGTAATAAATTAGCTTTTACCAGTTTTCTTTGGTTACAAGTTCAATTATTTCCATCTCCTATTTCGAAGCAGCAGTTGGTATAACCCACAAAGATGTATCTTTACCGCTCGAGGTATATCTTTATTTCTCTTTCTTACGAAGTCACGAGGCAGCCTAATACCAATTTCTCCAAATACTATCCTAAACTTAAAGGTAGCCAGCCGTGCCGAAATAAGCATCGCCTGGTCTACGCACCCTATCCTAAACTTAAAGGTAGCCAGCCGTGCCGAAATAAGCATCGGCTGGTCCACGCACCCTATCCTAACCTTAAAGGTAGCCACTTGTGCCGAAATAAGCATCGCCTGGTCTACGCACCCTATCCTAACCTTAAAGGTAGCCAGCCGTGCCGAAATAAGCATCGGCTGGTCCACGCACCCTATCCTAACCTTAAAGGTAGCCAGCCGTGCCGAAATAAGCATCGTATGCTCTACGCACCCCTATCAAAAATTCCAATTGCATGCAACCTCCGGCCTGGCCCTCGGCTCGTAACACTGTCAAGGTGAATCTTAGTTTCGAAGAAATTCATAAATAGACTTATTTAGAAATATTAATATAAAATATGTATATTAATATAAAATATCAATATAATAGACGGATCTTGTGCTTAAACATGGTGTCCCAAAAATGTCTCGCAATTCAGAAATGGAGGGTGCCCGAGGTTCTTTGAAGTAAATTTTTCCTTAGCGAAGATACATCCGCGGCTTTGTTTACGAGTTATTAACGCGAAACAGTGACCAATAAGGCTTGGCGTCTCGCGCTAGCTGATCTCGCCTCGCATTGGTCACTGTTTATCGCTAATAAGTCGCTAAACAAAGTTGCGAATCGCATTTTCGCTAAGAAATAAGTATTAAAGCGTTAGTTACGAACGAAATTTTTACGAAATGCGTACGCACCGTTGATTTTTATTGTTTCGATAAGAATTGTTGGTTTTAAGAGTGTGATCGTTCTATTCGAACGGAGAGAAGACTTTCGAAATGCTACATCGAAGTTTTTCGGAGCCGTTCGAGCATTGCCTTGGAGTTGAAATTTAATGCCTCAGAAGCACAATCTCGATGTTGCTTGAATTCCCGGAGGGCTGTTTTTATCGTATAATGATCATTAACCCGCTACTCGATAACGTCGATTCCCGGCCCGTCTTTCTTATCTACTCTGATTCCGCTTTCGTTCTTACGTTTCAACTTCCGCGTGAAACTTCTGCGGGCAAACTGAAAACTTCCTGCGTCACCCTATGTCCTCGCTTCAATTGTCCGTATCACAACTGATTTCCATCGCTTTTTCCTCCCGGACTTTAACTACTTGCTTCTACTTCCGCGAAAGTTCATCCTCCACCGTATTTTTGCAGTCAGCGTTCAGCTCCACAATTAAAACTGTTTAACGTCGCCATCTTATCGGGAGCCGAAAAAGTTTCTAAACGGTCGAAATGAATATGCCCGATAGAAAGCATCACGTGCGAGATTATTTTTCGGAGAGAATCATCTTTCAGAGAAATGACATGGAAATCGGTGTATACAGATTCTACTGTAAACTTGGTGGATTATTAGATTAGACATTATCCATTGCATTTAACGGCGAATTAAAAAATTGCATAGATTTTTAGAAGCAACGTGTAGAGCTTATACATATTCGTCCACGGCATTGCCTTTCAGTTAAATACATTTAACAATATTTCTAAATAAATGAAATGCAAATATGTTTAAAAATGACAAAAAAGGAACGTTAAGGTTGTTAAATTTTATGGAAACAAATCTACGGGAATTTCGAAGAAAATTATACAAGGCACCTCGGAACTGCTTCGAATGACCTCAGGAATCACCCCTTTCCGGATGTTAACGTAATTACGGGACACCCTTATGGAGCGATTAAACGAATAAGTAATTCGATAGAGTATTTGTCGGAGCATTTACGAATTTATTTGTCAATACGAATTTATCAATTCTTCTTAATATCCACGAGTGTTTCTCTTGAAAATCAGTTTTACGTAAAAACATTCTCATAATCTTGCGCTCTCAAGTAATAATTATAAATAAGCAGGATTTATGCAGTTGCGAGCTTAATAAGAAATAGTTCTACAGTTTCAACTTTTCTCTGTCGCGTAGAATAATTTAGATATTAATTAGAATAATTAGATATTATTATTATTATTATTCTTTTTGTTTTCCTCGTTATTTAAACGTGTCAAACACGTTATTATGCTGTTTCACTTCACTCGAGAGAATCAGCTGCTACCGTACAAGTTACAACTGTATAATTATTACTATCAACGTATTGGTACAGTTTAATCGACATTCTGGAAAGCAACGTGCAAGAATTGAGAAGACACGTTCAGCCCCGTCTTTAGCTTACGAGGATCAATTAGAAACGTTTGCCCAAAGTTAGAAACCCAAATATCCGTTGAACAGTGTTACTCTGAACGGACACAGGAAACAGTTGTGTATTAAACTACACTAATTCTGCTAACAAGGATGAATCAGCACAACAGAGTCGGAGTACGGGTAAACCTATATTACTTGTAATGAGCGGCATTACAATTGTTTCCGTCGATTTCAGGCTGTGATACATAATTATACGTATAGCGAATAGATAAAAGATACTGTTGACAAACTTATGGGAAATAGCATTCTGCAAAAACTTGATGCAATTAATATATTTCAAGACTGAATATAAGTAACTTGCACGCTAATCAATTTTATATGTACCGATAGGTAATAAACTCTAATGGTTCGCACTTTTATTAATTGTGTCGCATGCAATTGTGATCGAAACACCTTCATCTTCGGAGTTGAAGATTATTTGAAAATCATGTCACAGCATGTCACAGTAGTACAAATTTGAATGTATCTTTGTATGAGCTACAACGATGCAACGATAAAATATATGCAGTTAT